TGTTGTTTTGTCCTTGGGTTCCAAGTTATTGCTTCTAGATTTTTCTTGCAATCTAGATTTGTGTGTGTGGCGAGGGGTTGGTGGATCATGATGCAGGGGAGCATACTGTGTTGAAGGGTCATGTGCTGTGTTCATTTAGCATGGCCAAAGATGAGATTTGACACAAGTCACTGTTCAGCTTATCTCTTCACTGCAGACCTTGTCAAAGTAATCGCTATATTTGTGTTTATGCAGACACCTGTAGTATTTCGGGGTGAGAGTGGTGCCCTCAATCTCATCCCAAATGTATTGTTCCCCCCTGCCATGTTGGTAATGTATTTTTATGGTTGAGAGTAGGAGTCACTGGGATGATTAAGTTTTTAAAACTGTCTTTGCTCCCTGTGTGTACTGGTGTGGTTTAGTGCTTAGCCCTGAGTCACAGCAACCAACTTCTGCCTCCAGCTGTGTCACTACTGTGTGGTGTGACCTTGGCATTGGCTGTAAGCTGACCATGCAGGGATTGCATCTTCTTGATTAATAGCCTTGCTCAGAGTTATATCCCATTGGTTCGACAGCACAAATAAGTCTTTATTACCTCGGTAGCAGTGTGGAGTCCTGGCTCAGAGAAGGAGCACAATGCATTCTTGGCTTGGGAACCATCAGCAGAATTAATTCTATTTGGATTGCAGCGTAAAAATTGCCAGTAAGGCAGAGACGCTGAGGCCTACAAACATTGCATGAATTTAATTAAAAGAATGATTTTAAGCGGCTTTGGGCACGGATGCTTATTACTTCTCTATTGGTTTCTATCACTGCCTCTGTAATGAATTGTCAACAAGTTCAAATGAAATGAGCTTTCATTCTGCATGGCAGAAAGCTCCCAAAGGGAGAAAGGTGGCTACTTCTGAAGACTGTTTTAGTAGCTTGTGAAATAAAGGTGAAAAAAGGGAAGTTTCTCCCTTCCTGGGTGTTCATAGGTTGGAGAGCACAAGTGCAGCCTGTTGCAACACCGACTGACCATCCATGCAGAAGACAGCTGTGCTCCAGCAGTGCTTCCAGGTGCTGCTTCAGTGTCCAATTGGACTCTTGTAAGCCTGTAGCTAGAAAGTGGCTGAGCCCTTCACTGGACCAGGGTGAATAAGGTCAGTGTTCTTCAGGATGAGGCTCTGGCTTTTGCTGTATTTCAGTATGTCGGAGGGAGTGCTGTGAGTATTCTCTTGGCCTCCACATTAAGCTCTCAGATTTTCCCAGAGAACTGGGCAGAGCAACATACAGTCACAGAAAGGGAGCAATTAATTAAGTGACTCTGTGCCTTCTTCTGGTGTCGACCCTGGCAGTGCCTGTGAACTGCATAAACGCACTTGGGCTTGCTGTCCAGAGCTCTGATGTGGGTGAAGCTGACTGCAAAGGGACTTGTTTCAAAGCCTCTCTTGTGTTCTTTGGTAGCACGTACAAGGACAGTGTTACAGACATTACTGCTCTGCCTGTAATGGCTAAGGAAAGAGGCTTGACAGATTATTTGGCTTTTTTTTTTCCTCTCTGTGTGTGCTTTTGTTGGAGATGAGGAAATAGCACTAGTGATCTTTTTTTTTTTTAAGACTCTTGACTGCCCACAACCCCAGCTGACCTAGGCACTCTTGGAGACATAGCCAGAATTTTCAAGTTATTTTTAAATGCTGAAAGTCTTACAGAGGTCTGGGAATGTTAAATGATTGATTATTTGCATCGTAGAGCATAGGAGTCACAGCCCTGGACTGAGGCTTCATTGTGCTAGGTGCTGAATGCACACAGAACAAAATGACTGGTTTTGCCCTCGGTACCATGAAATCGGACCAGAGTCAGCTCCCATCCCTCTTTTCCAATATATTTATACATGCTGAGTGTGATACAGCAGTGTATCAAATCACGGATATGTTTCTTTTATAGCAGCAAAGTACAAATAAAGGCTGGATTTGTGTAGTCAACATTTGCTTAATATCTTGAATTGCAGAGCACAATAAACTATATAAATGCCTGGATGGAAAATTATTGTTCATGCATAGAGTTGATAACAGTGACTATATGTATTTTTAGCTGTGTTTCTCTGTTATGCCCAGCCCTCTGGTCAGTGCTACATTGCTGTTACCAGGTGACATGCATTTACTGCACTCCTTTGATTGCTTTGCCAGCATGACATCTGGCTAGTTTCCCTTTGCCAGGGTCCCATGATCGTGGTGAAGTTCTCACAATTATTTGTATCTATCTTTTCCCTTTACAATTAGCCTGAGAAATGAATGATTCTTTCCCTCCCTGCAGATGTGGGTTTATTTTGGGGGGAGTTGGGTGTTGATTTTTCCTTTCTTCCAAAGGGTGGGCAGGCAAATTGAGCCCCACACCAGTGATGTTAATTTCTATAGGCTATCACAAAGGCCTTACCCTTACTGTTTTGAGCACTTTGAGATAGTCCATGGAGTTGCAGTATTAACGGTTTATTTTGTAAACATAGGTGGTGCTCGGTGTGCAAGCTGGAGAAGATTGGTCCTGACAGGATGCCTATAGTTGAGAAAAGACAGAAATCTCTTCCTGTGGGAGTTGTTCTGCACTTGCCCTTCCCAAAAGCTCTGTCTCGGGCACAGAGAGGCTTTATTCTTGCAGTACAGAATGAATCTGTGACTGTGAAGTGTTTGACCATAGTTGATATCTTGGAGCAATAAGGGTGTGTGTTTGGTTTTTTTAATTTATTTTTTTGTTTTTAGGTGTCTTGCAGTTGGTAAGCCCCTTGGAAGATAAGTAACTAGTCATCGTGCTTGGGCTGCTGTTCAGTAGGAAATAAGCACAGCTCAAAGTGCTCTTAGTAGCCTGCATGGCTGGAGTCTGTCACCTGCCACAATAACCTGCAGTAACTGAAGTGTCAGTGCCTGTGCCTGGACAACTGCTGAGAAATGTCTCTTGCTGAATCCAAATTGTTGCTCTGTGGGACAGGATCTCCTGCTATCCAGCTAGTATCACATGTTAATTTTAAGTATTACTTTGGGGACTTCATGTCAGTGAGAAATTACAGACCTGCACATCAAACAGAGCAGAACTGGGTGGGTACTTCAGCAGTTGCAAGCTTTTCAAAGTATTTTTCTCTTGTGTCTGATCCTGGCTCAGTCACAAACTGAACTTGTGACTAAACTCACTTATTTAGGGAAAATTCTTTCTTTAACTGTAGAGCTTCAAACTGAAATATATTAGTGAAAACCTGAAATGTGGGCACAGGTATGGCAAGAACCTCTGTCTCCTGTTTCCCTCTGCAGGTCAACATCTGCAATCTGGCAAGCAAAAGTTTTTGACCAGTTCTGCCTTAAACCAGTTTTGACCACATGACTTATTGTTTCATATTTATTGTTTGTATTGCTATAGCAGTTGAGGCTCTTAAGTGTTGGATCCAAGACCTTGTCGTGCTAGGTGCTGTAGGAACATGAGGGGAAAAAGAAACAAGCCAAAAAGGCCTTGTGAGGAAGAACATGTGTTTCTGTATAATCCAAGATGACAGGTGGACATAGATGGGGAATCACAATAAATTGATGATATAATACTGACCTGTGCAGTGAGTAATAGTCTTGGTGCATAGCTTATCTAAACATTGCTGAGGTTTTATAGATGCTGTTGCAAAGGGCAGTTTGAAGGAGGATGATCAAGTGACAGCAGAAATGTACAGTAACATCACAGCAAGCGAGAAAGGCAGCAGAGGGAAAAGAGGCATGCTGAAAATGATGCTTGAGGAAAGATGTTTGCTGCAAAATCTGGTAAGCATTATAGATGCTGTGGTCAAGTGTGAGAGAGTGAAGCTACAGGAGCAAAGCGGAGACAGAAAGTGGTTTTTGTAGGTGGAAAAGTAGAGCCATGGGGAAAAGAAACCTACAGGCAGGCTATGTATTCAGTCTTGACTTGAAACTTTCTTCTGGCATGCTTACTACTAGCATCTGAAGGAAAAAGAAAGTGCTGTTTCTGTGGATTGTAACCTTTAACCAACATGTGTCATGAGGGAACAGATGAGTGAAGCAGAATGTGTGTGTTCCTTTATTTGCAGTGCAGATGTCTCCATAAGGGGCCAAGGAAAAATGCTGCTTTTTTCTACTGTTGTTTATTTAAACTTCAGTTTAACAAAATTAGCCTGTTCAGAAACTTCAGTGAACATCCTCTTTAAGTTGACAGCTTGCAGAGCAAGATGCAAGTCAAATGCCAACCCCAGCAATTAGCACGAATCCTTTCATGAGTGTCAAACTGTGCTTAATCTCTACTGATCGGGTTCTTTTTCTCCTACATGCTGTCTGCAGCTAAAAATATCATCAAATTAAAGATGTACCAAAGATAGCAGCTGCCCAGTTCATGGTTTTTCTGAAGCAGCTCTCTCTCTTCCCCAGTCATGGTTTGCTTTCCCATGCAGCATGAGAGGAAACACAGCTGTCACAGCATCTGTTTGGGAAACTCTTGCTGGCTTGATGATGTCCAGGAGCTCAAGTGTTCCTAGCCCACAGTGGAAAAGGCATTGCTTGGAGTGCAGCTTCCCATGTAAAGATAAAATTCTGGAAGGTGTATTGGTGCTTGATAGGAAGGTTTCTTATGAAGGAAGGGGAAACACGGCATGACATGACTGCAGGACAAGACAGGTTGCATTTTAAATAGACGCCCCAGAAGGTGGCTGGAGAAATGTCTTCATCATAGGAAATGCATTGGTTGCTTCAGTATCAAATGTTATCCCAGATGTGTTCTCTGCAGTAAGGACCCCGTTTAACTGAACCATTTTTAGGTGTGTGGAAGGAGCCCAGTTCCTTTTCTCAAAGGCTTTCAGCAATAAACTTCGGTATTGCCACTAGAGGGGGACTGCAAGCCATGCACCGTGCATCCATCCTGCTGGGCTTCACCAGCCCAGCAACTTCAGCAGCAGGACCCTCTCTGCTCTGTTGAGCTCTGGGGTCTCACAGCACCCGTGAAGGTCAGACATTGCAGCCAAAGAAACAGGAAGGGATGTGGATGAGGAGAGCCTGACAGGTGCCATGTCTGGGTGCTTCTCCAGTTATATGGTTCTGCAGAATATTGGTTTTTATTCCTACAGTTACAAAAAGTGTTCTGAGCATGACTTCTGTTCAGTGAAAGCCAAACAGGCTATGTGCAACCTCCCTGACTCATGAAGAGTTGTGAATAACCCTCTTTGTGCCTGGATAAAGGAACGTAAGAGCAGCATATCCAGCAGCACCATTAAACTGGTCAAAGATGAAGTGGAAACATGAGTGTTTCTAGATCGTGGGAGAAGTGTGAGGGCTTTAGGTGTAACACTTGTGTGCTGGACCTAACCTTCCTGTTTCTTGACGTCTTGCAGGGCTTTTACCCATGTTTTCACCTTTGGCCCAACATTCCGAGCAGAAAATTCACAGAGTCGCCGGCATCTGGCAGAGTTCTACATGGTGGAGGCTGAGCTGTCCTTCACTGAAAGCCTTCAGGACATCATGCAGGTGGGCACTCCAAATGTCTCTGCAGGACCAGTACCAGAGCTGCTTCCTCTTCCCTGAGCTGTGCTCCCTGACCTCAACTGAGGTTGCAACTCCTCTCACCCCACATGAACCAAGTAGAGGTTGCATGGGAATTTCCCATGGATCAGGGTTTGCTCAGCAGAGATGAGGCCACAGAAGGGGTTGGAAGGGGAAATACAGGCACACACAGCCCTTACCCAAGCAGGAAGGTGCACAGTTGCTGTATTGCCAGGGTGTGTGTAAATAAGCTTGACTGGTGCTAGTGAAAGTAGCATTCTCCCTTTCAAAATATTCAGCACCTCTTCACTGAACAAGCAGTATTGGTGCACCATGTCCCTTGGTGTGCTTTGTAAAGTCCTCCTTGAAATCTGCAATGAAATCTTAAGTAGAAACAACAGTTTCTAGCATAGTCTGTTCACTGTGGCTTTAGCAGAAGACTGGAGGAAATCCTTAGTCAGCCAGCTTTTGATTTTTGAGGGTTGATCTCTTGGTTGCAGTTTAACCAACCACATGATAGATGCTAATGCATCATACCAGTCTCAGGATAAGCCATCTTATGCCCAGTAGGACTTGTGAGTAAACATCCCCATGCACTCTCATTTATCAGATAAGTTCCCTGCAAAGCTATTGGAGAAATAGCCTTATAAAGAAAAATGCCTGAAGCACTGGCTACAGATTTATAAAATGACATCCAGGTGGTGGATTCTTCAGCCTGGATCATACACAGTGCTGAGTCAGTATGGCCTGACAGCAGAGCTGACACATTCTGTGTGCTGCTTCTGCATCTAGGATGCATGGATGGCAGTGGCCTGTGTAGACTTACACATTAGGAATCTGTGCTCCATCATTAATAGCATCCCACTCTTTCTTTTCTCTCTCCTTTTCTCCAGAGCAGCTTTGTGTATTCTTAGAGCATGGCATATGTATATGTTCATGCCTTATTTCCCAAGTTCCCTGTTTAGGTAATCAGGAGCTGACTGAAATTCTTCACTGCTTTTATCTAGTATAAGAGGCAGGGTCTTCTGTAAGTGATATTTGAACCCTTGAGCACAGCATCAACATATCTTGTACTGAGAACCCTAATTTCTTGGCTTTTGAAGTATAGACAGCCAGTTCAGACAATTCAGAGAAATAGATTCGAGAACTGTTCTGGAATGTGTAGGGCTTTTATTTGTAGGGAAGGGAGGTACTTCCCCCCCACCCCCGATTGCTTTTGTTTTTAAGTATCTTGTAAAGTCTCAGCTTGTGCTCTCTTTCACATCTTCCCTCTGTCCCAAAGTATTTTACAAGCATCTTTC